GCCAGAGCCTGTTGTTCCCCTGCAAACCTGGTTTCAGCAGGGCCTAACTTGTGTAGGGGTGTTTGTGGTGCCACAGGGCCAGAGCCTCTTCTGAGGCCTTCAGTGAGCGTACCCCGCATGTGAGAGATGCAGGGCGAGAGCAGCCAGGCTTGTTCATGGACAGTAACAAAACGTCTCCTGTTTTAGCGTGACGTGTCTGGGAAGAGTAGAGCCGGGCCTGAGGTCTGAAGCTGGGCTTTGTCAGGACAAGAAATCCATTACTGTGCTGTCGGTGAGAGCCTGCCTGTGGCGTCGTGCACCAAGATGGTGCTGTCAAGTTCGGAAAGTAATCACCAGGGGTAGATGACAACATGAAAAGAGAGATGCGAGTGGGAATGAATTTAGCCAACTTCATCTAAAGAAGTGTTTAATGGCAGGATGATCATCATAAAGGCCATTTAGTAGCAGGAAGAGGAGATGACACGTAATACATGTAGTAAGTAGCACAAAGAACAATGAATGCAATTTAATAAAGGGCAAATTCAAACTGGAAATGAGGCTAAACTTTTGGATGGTTCAAGGCAGGCAGAAAGGGAAATCATTTGCTTAATGAGGTAGTTATGACAAACTAGGTAGAAATATTCTGGTTTCCGAATTCAGCAAGCATGGAATTGAATCTTTCCTGCGTGACACAGTGGGTTCGGCCGGGAGGGCCGGCGGTGCTCTGTCAGCCTTGGCCGTCGTGACCATTAGTCGCATTAATAATCCATGTTGGAATAAAGGCACTACAGCAGCAGCATTACATGTGGAGCATCCTTCCTTCATCTCTAGCAGTGAAGAAAGAAATCAGATTGTGCTTTTTTTTTTTTTTTGTGGCTTCACAATAAGAAACCAAAAGTTAATTGTCCTGCGCTCGTACTAGCAGAGATCTGAGGACCACAGGGAGATTTCCAGCCCCACAGCATTTGTGCCTGGTCACAGCCGTGTTGTGGCGTGGCTGCTGGGGATGTTTCCTAGGGCTGCATGGGTGCCTGGCCCTCCCTGCATTGCAGGGCCAGCAGGATAACCCCGAGGAATTTCTTCAAACCCCGGCCCTTGTATTCCACTCCGGCTGCTGCCTCGAAGCAGAGCTGACCTGATGGCCGGTAGCAATGCAGCGGCTGATCTTAATTAACCACCTACAGATCTCCCTGCTCCGAATGTGCTCGTGCCCTCCTGCCTGCTACGGCTCTTTATTAGGAGCATGTCTGAAAACAGCCTCGAGTCTGCGTTGCTGCGAATGCTTTAGGAAAAAAAAAAGGCCATAAATGCATGCTGCCAGAGCCTCACAGCTGAGAAGTGGCCCAAATGTATTGCTGGTGTGAACATAGTGGGATGAGGAAACAGTGCAGGAACCGATACTGGTGTTTGAAGCAGTGAGCCCAGGATGATGAAGAAAAGTGGTGAACAAAAATGTTAATCTCTTTGTGGCACAAATATACAGTTGATGTTCCTGGTCATATTTTAAATACATTGAAAGGCGTGAAGTACCTAATTAATGAGGTTTCATAGGGATCCCAATTAACCGCTAATGGTCACCAACTGCAGTGTCTGGAAATGAAGTGAAATGAGGGGATTCCATGCGTGGAAACCGCTTGTATTGTCCAACACAGCTGATGATCGCCGTGCTTAAGTAACTGAATTCTCATAAGGATTTGAGCTGCTTGAAAATAAATGCAATTTCTTCAGGACCTTGATAGTGATCAGGAAGTGAATGTAAAACTGTGATCTCATGTAATTTGGAAAGTTAATGTAATAATCTGATTGGCAGAGCTTGCTAGGCATCTAACTGTATACTGAAAAGGAAAAAAAAATTGTAAGGCATGGATCTGTGCCAACAGCAATGGAGGTGGAGAAGACAGTCGATTTTATTCCATAAATCATCTGAGATGAAAATGGGTGGTGTCCCAAAGAGAAATAAAACAGTGTGCTATTTGCGAGGAAAATAGGTCAGTCTAAATAAAAGCGTTGGTTGTTACATGCTACAATAGATATATGTTGGAGAGCTGGTTGGAAAATCAATTTATTCCTGTAAAAACATAGCTCTTACAGAAGTCTTTCTTCAAGCTTTGAGATTTTCTGTGGGAAAAAAAAAAAAAAATTTTATATATATATACATATCAGTTTCCATCTACCAGGAAGTTTCAGATGGAAGCCTGGTTTCTGGTCAGTTCTTTTCTCCCCCATGCAAACACATGCTTGCAGGAGTAGGTGTCTGTACTGGAGTGGACATTGCTCCCTCTAGAGCAGAAATGAATCCCCTTTTACAACCCATCATGTTTTGTCTCTTGGTTCTGCTTTGTCCTGGGCTGGATGTATGGGTTTTCCTACCTGTTAGCTCCGTGTCCCCGTCATGAGTTTCCAAGCTTTGGTTTCCAAGTTTCTGTTCCAGTTGCATGTCTGTAAGGTGCTCTAAGGGCTTATCATACCAGATCTTCTCTACTCTTTGCAGACAAGCTGAAAATTAGCAATAAAGTGTTTGGTGATGTTCAGTGAAAGCCATGACAGAAGTTGCACAAGCAGTAAGTGTCAAGGAAAGAAGCCGTACAGGCTGAGGAAAGGAGACACAAATTGTCAAGAGCGAGTGCAAGGCGCATTTTTCTGAAATAACTCATCTTTTTGGCTGGGGTCAGAGAACAACAATCTCAGATTTAATCCATCCCTCGCATGAATCGCTGAAGTTGTTGAATAATAACCCATAAAATGTATATTAGCAGAGTTGTGCCAGGACCCTAGGAAAGGTAATGCTCCCTGGGTATTTTGTGGGAATGTTTTGGACCTACATAGCACATTACCAGCATTCATCAAGTAATATACAGCACGCTTTGACTAACTGGGGAACTTGAGTTGTCAGCAGGAGGTCAAAGAAGATGATCTCTTGGTTCTTTCTTGCCCTAACATCTCCGAATAACGGCAGTAGATGCCCCTAGTGATGCTCACAGAGCACGCGTGTGTTTGCTCTGAGTTACAGAAGGCTGCGTGATCAGCATGCCGACAGGCGCTGCGCTGCTACAAGGTGGAAGCGTGGCTGTTTCAGAATCTGTTGGGGTATTTTACATCACTTAGGCAGGTGGGTGTCGTGACACTAGAAAGCAGAAAGTTGGCTGGCAATGTGCTGCTGGTTGCAGGTCATTATTTAAGGTATGGGTATGTGCATCTCTCTGAATAGCCGGTGCCTTTGTGGCTTAGACTTCTGGCTGAGATGTGGAAGACAAATATTGGAGGCTGCGGTTAAATTAGGCAGCGTGGAGAGTTATACTTCAAGCTTTTAGGCTGGGATGTCGAGTTCCTGCTTGGGGTTCAGATGTGAGGTTGTCTTTCCCTAGAAGGTCTCATTTTTATTCCCATGTGGAATGGGAGACGCTCTGTGGAATGAGAAAAGTTGTCTGTGTTGCTGAACTCTGAGCTTGTTTCCTGTATCTTCACCCCTTTAACTGGGTGTCAGTCGCCTTTTTTTGGGTAGATACGATAGACTAATTCCCGTCTCTGTTCTGGGTCTGTAGTTGAGCAGAGCAGTTCATCACCAAGGGAAAATAAGTCTTTCTTTATAACTGCTTCTCTTCATTTTATCTCGGCTTGTCAGTGTCTGGCAGATTCTCCATCCTTTACGCCATTCCTCTGCAGCTCACTTCACAGAGCAGTCATTAGCTCTGCATATAGGGCAGGCTGGGGGAATTCGGTGCTTCCCTGAAGTTTCATTCACTCTTTCTTGGGTTGCCTTTGGACTTCATATTCTTTGTAGGCTGAAAAGGGCTGGGTACTGCTCTGAATCTGGTCTTCGCTTTGTATATTCTTAACGCTTCTAATTACTGCTAGACTGGACTGACCTAAAGTGGTATTGTAACTGTGCCTGATGTTTCTGTTCAGAAAACATAATGCTGGCATTTGAATCTCATTTTGTTAAGTTTGCTTGTACTGTTTAGAACAATTTGAGGAGATTTACAATTGCTTGTTTTGTAATACAGCCACGAAGAATTAAGGGAAGGCTTTAAAAGTAATCTCTCTTTTCCTCCAGCCAAAGAAACACTGTTATGTTTTCATCTGTCATCTTTTTTAGGGTCATGGTTTGGTCTCTCCCATGTTGCGCTTGATGGGCACATATAAGTGCTGCATCTGAGTAGTTCACAGAGGAATTTGGCACTTTGCTTTTTAAATGCAGTGCCAAACGTGCAGAGAGAACAGCGGAGCTTGGTTACAGTGGAGTCTATGCAAATATGGGAATTACATTTTCAGGAAAAATGACTATGAGAAGAGAAGGCTTAGAAATCGATTGCAATTAAAGTTGTAACTGGCTTGGTGCTGGAGATGGATAGCTGCTAGCTTTGGATATTTGCTAGCTAGGCAGAAACTCAGAAAATTGTGTTTTCTGAGAGCAGAGATACAGAGGAAAGATGGCTTTATGTTTAAGGCTCTACACTGGGGCTCAGCAAATTGACTTCCCTTCCTTTCCTGGCTGCCTCAAAGGATGCCTCTGTAGTCCTGGGGATGATTACAAACTTTTTACCATATGTTTATGCTGCCTCTAAGTGATCTGGAGCCTCGTTTTAGTTGGGGTTCATGAAATTCTAGCCTACCAAATAATATTTACTTACTAGTCTCTACCAGAAAGTAAACATTCTTTGGAAAAACTAAACTGAGTCACGTTTATACTGAACAGGGATTCTGTGCTCTAGGCAGTGATTGATGACAAATAAGGCCTTGGGAGATGATGACTATATCAGGCTGGATGCTCAGACCAGGCATGGGATCATTAAAGTTGCTTCAAAAAATGTTGGGGGGGGGAGGAAGAAGGGAGAAGGGGAGGAGATGCTGACCATGAGGGCCACGGGCTATTTTCCCAAGGTCCCATAACTCAGGAGAGAGGAAGGGCCTGACAGAAGCAGAGAACCTTCCTCAAAGGGGACTTTATAACATCATTAGTGTATTGGCCAAATTCAGGCACACTTCAATATTAACAAAGGATCTTTTTTTTTTATTTTTAGATAAATCATCTGCAAACGAGTTTATGAGAAAAATAGAAGGAAGAAGGCCAAAGAGGCATGCCAGAGAAGGAAGCTTGCAGAGTCCAAGGGGTTCAGAGAAGACTGCAGTGGGACTGCCTCTGAGAGGGAGCGTTTACATCACTAATTCTTGAAGGGCTTACCTTCTGGGACTCTGAGCTTGGATTGCTGCCGCAACATTTGTCTGGGACTTGGCCTCTGGGCTGGTGAGTTAGTGATGGAGTGATACATGTCTCGTGTGCTGAAACATGATGTTTTCAGGTTGCTCACTGTGAGGAGTTTTGGTCTCTGATCATTCTGTTTCTCCTGCTCCAGTGAGGACAGGATGTGTCATGCAGCAAAGAAGGCAAAGGATCACAAACATTAGATAAAGGGTTTTCCAAATGGCTCGCGGCTCTCTTAACACTGTCATCATTGGACTCAATGGGACTTTCTCCCCTGACTGTTGGGAGCAGGGGTCTTGTATTTCAGCCTGTAAAGTAGGTAGATTTCGGCAATCATTTAGATACAAAACATGTATATATGCCTGCTGCAGTGCAGGGAGGTGATGCAGCTTTTGCAGATGCTGTTTAGCGGTAGGAAAGTAGTACATTAGCAAGGTAGGTCAAATCCAGCCCCTAGTTATACCAGTTCAAATACAGAATAATGCTGTTGGTGTGTTTAGCCAGAATTTGTTGTTAAACAGATCCCTTCATTTTGCATTCACTCAGTACAGGTGCATGTGATTGCACTGCGGGCAGGGGAGCGATGAATGGAACCTGATTAGTTTGCTCCTAGAATGTATCCTAGGGAAAGTAAATAGCATTGCAAAGGGTTAGCTTTGCAATATTGCTTTTCCACTGTAGCATTACAGGAATGTGCTATTTACCGTTTGTGCCCAGTTTGTGCTGTCTGAAACCAGGAAAAGTGTCCACTTTGGAGAAGTTGGAGCTTCTGTCTGGAACAAAACAAACCAAAAATTTTAAATTTCCTTACAGAAAACGGATTTTTGATTTTAACAGAGGAATAAAATGGTTCCCTCTGTTTTTGTAGGATGATGGACCCAACACAGAATTTGCCAGGATAAGCAATTTGGTCCCATCTTGGTGATTCATTTCCCTTTGGAAAGGGCAAAGGCATATAAGTCCACATAAAGTTGTTCCAGGGGAAACAGCAGCCCAGGAGTCCTCTGAGAAAGAGGAGGCATGAAGGAGCCACAATCTGATGGTTCCATTTGCAGAGAACTGTCCACGGAGGGGTGTTCAGTAATCCCCAGAAAGCCCACTCTTAAAAGCCCACTGCTGTCTTAATTTAGAGCTGCTTGACTGCATACTGGGGATCCTAGAAGCCCTGTGACTTTGATCTTAAAATCCGTTTGGGCTTCCAGTGCTGTGCCTTGTGGCATGGCTGCTGCAAGCCTGGGGTTGTTGGCCTGGAGCTGCCGGTTCTGGGACAGCGTAAGCCCCGTTACCTGTCCCCCAGACACGGGGTGCTCAGAGGCAAACGGGACAAGCTCGGTTACCTCACACCTCTTTTTAATGGACCTGGCAAAACCAAAAGAGCAGCCATGCCAATGGTGATATATCAACCTTTACTGACAGAAGAGAGTCATGTCAGAAGTGCTGTGGGCAGATCTTACAGCATCCAGGGGCTGCTTTAGAAACAGCACAATGAGCAAACCTTTGCTCAGCGGGTTGCACGTCTCTGGTCCTCATTGTTCTGACTTGTGCTCAGCAGCTGTACCCTTTGGAGAAGCAATAGGCATTTTCTTTGACCAGAGATGTTTGCAGCTGTCTCCTGTCTCCCCTTGAACTCTTTTCATATTCATATTTTCATTGCTAATGAGAGTCTTGACTATATGCTAAAAAGATCCTCCATCCCTTCCAATTTCTCTTGGAATAGCTAAAGACAAAAGAAGTAATGAACTAAAGCTCCCTCTGAGTCTTTGACTCATCCAATCACCCAAATTAATCAGTGTTAGAGAGAAGTGTGCTGCTCGGTGTGACCACCCAGGGCGCTCTGTCTGGCTCCATGACTTTGGTTGCTTTGTCTCAGTATCACAGCACACATATGGTGCGAGATTGTGCTCTGTCCTCAGGTGCCCGCCACGCTTACCTGAGGTAATCAAACCGAATACAGGCAAGAGGCAGCTACAACAGAAAATAACTTCCAGGCAGCTGTAGGTTTGGCGTAGGCCTTTTATGATCAAATTTTCACCTCCAGTGTAAATCCAACAAAGGAAAGTGTACATGTATGTAGGCACACACCTGTTGGAAGCAGAATGTAGACCTAATTGTTGTCTTCAGCCCATATCCGCAGCCAGCCTCTGTGACCTCCTAGGTACGCATGCATGCTGTTGGAGACAGCCTTAAATAAATCCTGCTGGCTGAGTGTGCAACAGGCAGGAGTGAGAAGTGCCTGGCTCCAGTAGAAAAATGGCCAACAGTGGTGGGTAGCATCTGGGGGCCAGACTGGTCCGTAAGTTGGGGTTCTTCTCTTCCCCCCAGCTGTGCCACTGACTTGCTGTAAAACCTTCCCAATCACTCAGGTGACCAAACCTCTGGAGGTTCAATTCTGCTTTGGTAAAGCAGGAACAAGGATTCCTTTGAGCTGTGCCTCCCTAGCAGTGATTGAGCTGGGCTGACAGGCACTAACGCAGTCTTCAGGGAGCAGCAGCGCTGAGGTTGCTCTAGTGAGCGTTTTGTGCTAGGGGAAGAATGGATCCTTACCATATTCAATCAGTAATCTCTGGGCATGTATACCCCCACTTCTACATTAAATACTCTTAGCGATTTAGGGATTTACTGTGTCTTTCCCTCTTTTATTTATCTCACATTCCCATCAACAGGAGCTTAATTTTAGGCCATGATAAAACTTTTTAAGCACACTTTTACTGGATAAAGTCATTAAGAAATCTGCGCTTTTTTTTTTTTTTAAATAGTGACCCCATTCTTGCTTTCTGAACTATCTTGACTTTTTTTAAAAGGGAAGCAATAATGAATTTCCATATGGGCTATACCCTGTAAAAAGATTATCTCCATTTATTCTTTTTATAAAGTTTTCAGAAGGGAAGGCGCTGTCCCAATGCACAGAAGCAATTTTTCTTTTCAATGGATACTGTGACTCAAATCTAAACCTTTGCTCTCAGAGGAACACTTTTCAAATGTTTACTTACTGCTTGATTCCTGATAGGCAGGCTGGAAAAAAATCAGATGAGGTGTTGCTCCTGAAAGTTATACTGCTTTATATTGTTTGAAAGGCAGAGATTGAGCTGATTTGTCTAGCAGCTTGCCTTTTCGCAGCTGGGGGAAAGAGTTCCTTTGTAGCTCAGGCTTTTATCAACAGTCCAGTAAAAGTGTTTTATATATATACATAAAAAACATACACATTTATATAGAGCCTTTCATCTTGATGGTTCCAAAGTAGTTGAAAATTTGTCAAATAATTTGTCAACTACTTTCCTCAAAAGTTATCTCTAACTTCAGCACAAAAACGGAGGTATTTCTGTGCTGGCTGAAGCTATTTTTGCTACTAATAGCTTATTAAAGTAACCATCGGAGTTGTAACGCATGGATTACAAAGTTTTAAACTAAGAATTTTTGAAACTTTTTCCTAATCATGTAAGAGGATTTAATCAAACGTGAAGCTGCTTTCTTGTTACAGTGAGGCTGGGGGGAGCTGGGGCATGAGGTGTGCTGAGCAGGAGAGGATCTGCACTGTGTGTTTGTGGTGGGTAACTGGGGAAAAAAAAGATAGATAATACAGCGCTGAAGACAAAACCAGGGTCGTGGAAAGATCTCCTTTTGACAGACGCTTGGTGACAAATTCCTCTTCTGCAGCACAGCTGGAACAGATTGGTGTGTATGGGTGAAAACTGTGTGAACAAACAGGGATGCCTGCCCCCCTCTGCTACCCCCTCACCCGTCCCAGCCTTGCCAAGAGGGGATTTCTGCCTGGGGCTGGTGGTGCTCCTCACAGCCACTTGCCCTTTACCTTACTGGTGACACCATGACCTTCCTTGGCCAGTGTTTCCATATAAGATTTAAAACTGAGCAGCATTTGCCTCTCCTGGAAGGGCTCTGCCTTCACACGTCCCCCGTGCTCTCTCTGCCTCCGTAAGGCTTCGTCACAGGATCCTCTTGGCTGCTGAACCTTTTCGTTGTGCAAGTTGCTGGCTACCTCACGAGCAAACGTTGCAAGGTGACTAAGGGTTTCGTGCTGGGATCCACGGCAGAAGCGTGTTAATGGAGTCAAGTGCTATTTGTTGGCTCCAGTGCATTTCACTGCGCCTTGGCGCACTCGTGCTTCCTGTATGAAACTTGGCTGGAGGAGTCAGAACTGCAAGACATCATCCCAAATTCCAGCTGGGATGTGTAACTTGGCTACATGACACTCTCCCCTCTTTGCCCCCCTTAGCCACTTCCCATGTTAAATAGTTTCTCAGGACTCCAAGGGGAAGGGGGAGATGATCTCCAGGCAAATGATTCTGATAAGTAGAAAAAATGTGTAAATAAACTAGCCATGATTAATAGTAAGAAATTGTCACTTGTCTCACATGCCTGGAAGTTGTGGCTTGCTGAAATGACAGCCCTTGTCTTGCTGTTGCGGGGCTGGGATGCAGAGAGTGAATGCTGGGGGTGGGATTTATTTGACACATATTTTCAAACTGGGAAAAAAAAAAAGAAAAAAAAAAAGTGTGATTTATTTTCTTTTGCTGCAGCCTGCTCCCAATTTTCAGTTTACATTAATAGCTATGGGAACAGCAGTTCTTACTGCCATATACTTTAGCTATTAACACTGTGTCTGGTTTGACAGTGCATCTCTTAAATTTTTTTTTATTCCCTCGTGATCATAAAATATGTATCAGCCTTCCTTTTTAATCTCCTTTGGCATGTCCAGCTAGTTAATGTGCATCTTTCCTCCTTTAGGATTTGATTCTTCTAGCGTCATATACTTAACTAGAAGAAACAAACTCTCTACTAAAACTTCCTCTTGTTTGTTTGTTTAATTCTTTTTTAATTTTTTTAATTGGGAACTTGTTTGAATTCATATTTAAAGGAATTATTTCTCCGGGAGCCCCTAACAGCTTTCTCCCCAAAATGTTTGTTTCATTGATATTTTAATTGCTGTAATAATCAGCATGCGGAATAAGAGGTCTTTCCCCTAGCTCAGTAAATCCATACTGGCTGAGTAAAGCATGTCTGTGATTTATGTGCAGATAAACAGCTTTGGATCGCGTCCAATCACTTCATCAGTTTTAATTCGGCTGCCTAATCAGTAGCAAACAGGAGGGTGGTTTTTTTTTTTTTGCTTTGTTTTGTTTTTAGCAAGGTGGGGGGCGCTAATAGAGGGTTTGGCATAGTCCCCAGAATGGCACAGATACTCCCCATTTCTCATCATGTTAGTGTCAAAGTCAGCTCTAACTTTCTGAAAGAGCTTATAAGAAGGGATGAGATGCCAAGGCCTGCCTTTAGGCTTTTGGTGGTATCTAAGGAACCATGCAGATATGCAGTCTGGAAAACAAGCCTGCTCTTATCTCATTATTTATAAAGGACATCCCTCGGATGCCTGAGAAACGTGGAAAGGCTCGTATGGAAGCAGATTTTATTTCCTGTGTGTGCTTAGGAGTTGATGCCTTCAAGATTAGTTTCTCAGCAATCAGGTTGCTGCTGTTGCTGTTTCCTAAAAGTCACGGTGACTTCAGTGCGGTCTGGGAGGCGGAGGTGCCTGCGGGGAGGCAGAGCAGCACCAGAAGGAGGAGGATCATCCACCCTGCCCTTCCCGGTTACATTGGGTAGGACAGACAGACCCTGGCATCCTGCTGGAACAAGCAGCATCCTCTCTCCTCATCTGTGCCGCTGGCTGCAGTGTGTCAGGATGGGGATGGGGCAGGGTGCTCCTCACTGCTTCCATTTTCTTCTCCATTCCTGCCCTGCTGTGCTGCAGGGTGGATGCTTAATGCTCGGTGATGAAGCACTGGGGTTTTGGGGACAAAAGCTGCACATACAGCTCTACAAGAGAACAGCTCCTCCTGCAGCTCTGTGCAGCTGAATAAGGGCAGGGTTGGTACGTCCCACTGCCACCTCTGCAACTCCATCCTATGGGGTGCTGTGATACATGGACTGTGTGCACGGTGCTGTAAAGGCCAGGGTGATCCAGATGCCCCTGGACTGAGGCTCTTCTAACTTAGGGTTCAGGACCAGAGTTCCTGACCTCATTTTTATCTACCGTAAGCTAAGCAACTGCCTATTAACGATAAAACATTGGACCATTTACATTATTATCTGTTGGTGCCATGTGTCCAGAGGTGAAGTGTTCCCTGATTTATAAGCAGCCTCTGAAGGATTACAGAGAACAACCCCGTTCTGCTCACCAGATCTAGGGCAAGCAATATCACCCACAATAATAAAGCTCGCCTAAAAAGCTTAGCAAGGTTTGACTAGCACACCATGGCTGTGCATCTCTGAGCCTTGTTGGATGTCCTGGCTGCCCTCCATTTCCCTGGGTAACTGTGCCTGGCCACTTCCCTTATGCTGGGAGGCTGCAGGAGATGTTAGATCACTGTTCTGGATTTATTTCTGCCTCCTTCATAGCAGCCCGTGCTGGTAAGCCAGTGGCAAGCTGGGGAAGCAGTGCTAGGCTGGGTGGCCACCACTGGGCCAGTTTAGGAGGTGGGTTCATTGGGAAGGAGAAGACATCAGTGTTGCTGCTCTGTCTTCTTGGTGGTTTACATCATTGCCCAAATGAGACCCAACAGCTTTTTTTCCATTTCACATTAACCCCCACCAGCTCCATGTTTCATCATTACCAAGACCGTAAGGAAAATCCCAACCAGATCTGTTAAATTCAAACTTTTTTTTTTTTTTTTTTTTTTTGGCTCAGCCTTAATTTCCTGCACACACCCATAGCTGCGGGGGCTTTAAATAGAGCTTTGAATCATGAAATTCGGAGAATTAGGCTGGGCTGGAGGGAAGGGCAGTAGACTGGGTTAGAGGCAGTTTGGGATCGGTTCGGAGTGCAGATGTGCGTGTCCCCAGGGACCTTGGGTGAGTTGTTTAATCCACCCGTCGTGCTGGGCTTTGTCGGGCTGCAAAAGGGCAACAACACCTCCCCGCCTTAAACTGGGTAAAACACGTTATGGGAGGGAAGAGATTCAGCTCCTGTGGTGGCTCTGGCACAGCTCCACCTCCAGTGTCGCAGCACGTGAAGGTTTTTGGGGTGTCTGTGAGCAGTGTTGGGCCCGTGTCCTGCAGGGCCAGGGGAAGGCAGCGCGCTGGCATGGCCGGGGGACAAAATGGCGGCCGCGGCCCTGAGGTGCCAGCCTGGCCAAAATTAGCGTGAAATGAACTGGCTCTGACCAGAGTCCCGAAAGTTTAAGACAATCCCATCTTATTGACTGCTTTAATGGAGAGGTAGGAATGGCTTTGTGCTGTAACCTGAGAGGGAATTCAAACATCTGACAAGTAATTTCAGGAGGAGGCTCAGTTTCCGGCAGATCAAAGGTGAGTGTAGGGAATCCTCTATTCTCTGGCCAGAAGGGAGCTGTTATGCTTAGCGTTTGGCAGTTTGTAGCCCCAAAATCCTGCTGGTGATCAAACCCAAGGGTTTCTGCTGTCCAGTGGCTTACGTTTTAGAAGAGACTGCCAGTCCAGGGGGGTTGAGCTCACAGATGCATCTTACTTTCTTACAACCTGGTATTTTGGGCTCTGATCTGCCACCAGAGATATCACCAAAAAAAAGCATCTCCACTGTTGTCATTTTAAAGAGTAAGAGAAAACTGGTAATGAGGGCTGAATCTTTTCGTGAGGTGATCCCTGGTGTTCCCGTGGATTTCCCACCTTCAGCCCTGGCAGAAGCTGTGGAAACTTTCCCATCTTCAGCCCTCTCCTGTGAATGCTTCCACAGGTAAAGACCAACAGGAGAGGGAAGGAAATAGATAAGGGTGCATACATGGGTCATAGTCTTAAAATGTTTCAAGAAGGGACTGCCAGAGCATTTTCTGGATTAGAAAAATGTGGTGAATGAGACTCCTCATAGAAAACAATTCCTGCAGTCCCCTTGGTGGACTGGGTGACTGGTTCCTCTGTTACTGCAGGTTTGCATTTTTCAGATGTTGCTATAATTGTGATTTTTCCTTTTCTTTTTTCTTCTTCTTCTTCCTTTTTGCAAGAATCACACTACATAGAAACCATTGTTCAAGTGCGATTTACCAGGGTGGTGACAGGTTTGCCTATGGCCTGTCCCTGAGCGTGACACCTTGGCCCCAGGAGCCCTCTGGTATGACACAAGGTTTTGGCACATCAGATTTTAGTTTCCCTGGAAAAAACATTTTGTCTTTTTAGAGCCTCCGCTCCTTGTGTGTGATGTAGAGCTAATAGCATGTGCTCCTTCTCAGGAGCACGGTGAGGATAAACCCATCTGGTTTGTGAATGCTCAGACGTTGCTGTGATGGAAGCCATGTAAATAACTGGATAAATGATTTCAGTGAGATCGGCTGTCGAGCATAATAGGTAGCAGGGTCAGAGTCTATTCACAGTGAGTCATTTCTTACTGGCTGAGTGGGATCTGTGCTCACAAGCCATTGTGCAGAGACATCCTCTGAGTTTTGCTGTCTCTGTCTTTTCCCTGCCTACATGTTCAGCTCCTTGATCTCTTGCCTGGAAGTTCCAGGGGGCAGGGACAGCTGCGTCCAAGGGCTGCACAGAGCTTAGCACCAAGAGTTCAGGCACAGGGTAAGCTTTGGGGAGCTGCCACAATGCTGAGCTAAAAGATCTCTTATTAGAGAACAATCTAGAAATTAGCATACTTTGATATAATTTTTGCCTCTTTACTTTCACGGGGTTAAGATGGAATTGAGGGTTTTGGACCAGACAGATGGGTGGAAATAATGAACATAACCTCTGAGATGTGAGTTTCTTGAGCAGATTTGTTCATTTTGTGCTTTGCTGTGGGATCAGCACCCTCAATGTTTCAAAGAGCAGGGATATTGCTCACAGCTAGCATGCTCACTGTCTGCCCTGCCAGGCTTGCTGTGAGACCTGGGGCAAAATGTGTAGGCAGCATTCACACCTCTTCATCTGGCTGCAGCTCATGGATTGACTTGAATGGTTTAAATAGGTCTTTACTAATCTGGATCTCTGACTACATCGGTGAGTAGTTCTGCTGACAGAACGGAGCATGCAATAAGCTCGGGCAGGGGTGAGTGATAAGGCGAGGAGATGAGTGGTGGAGACAGTAATCTCCCCACGCAGAACGCTGCAGTGGGGAAGGAGGTGTGTGCTCACAGCCTGCATTTCTCACTGGTGCATTTTCCCCTTGGAAACTGGGACGAGAGGATTCTTTGGGTCTCCTGGGAGGATGAAGTGGTCAGTAGTGTGCAGGCAGGGCTGCACAGTTTGTAGGTTAGATTGAGTGTGTTGAAATATTTATTGTTTTACAAACATTTGCTGCTAGCAAATCTGTAGGTTCAGATTTTTGCAGAAAGCTAACATGAAGAAAGAGGATTGCAGCTGAAGCAAGTTTTGAAACAAACTTCAGATGAGCATTAAGGAAAATTTTTACATTACTCTGTGGTTAAATTTAAATAATATGTTTGTTACATTTTGTTTCTAAAATCATGTCAAGATTTGAAATTAAATTCTTTTCCCCATCAGAAGACATAATTTGGAGATATCCATTGAAGACTTGCTTTCTGATGTTTCCACAGGTTACTAAGGATTTTCCCTGGTGCGTGACTTCGAATATGATACTTCAGTAATGCAGAGGCTGTAAGTATATAATATGATGTTTGCAACCCTTCTTTAATAGCTGTGTTTATACTGTTTCTGGGTCTTTGCTAAACTTTGCTAGACTCTACCTTGCAATGAGCTTGCAAGGAAGTGGCTGGAAGAGGAGGACATGGTTCCAAAATGAATAGTGCCATTTTAGACACTTTGCTTTATGAGCTTAATGTTGTCTTATTTAAGAATTCCTATAATGGTTGTTTAATCTGTAGGAAGAAAGCCCAAGACATCTGTCTGTATTGCTGGAAATGCCACAAGTAGACAAAAATAAAAATACCTCATTAGAGTAGATGAGCAGTGAATAAAATGCAATGATACGTTACCAAAAGCTGGCGTGGAGTTGGTTCCCAGGCACAGAACAAAGGCCAAGAACCTTATTTTGCTTGTGATAGCACTAATTAAAAAGAAGCTGAATGAATGAAATGGAGACTGCTGCCCTGCTCATGTAATTGTTGGCCATCAGTCACCTGGTGTCAGAGTTGGGTATCTGAGGAGTCTTATCACAGAGGGAAGCTTTTGTGCAATTCCTGGATTGAATTCCTGGATGTTTGAAAACAGTGCAATTTCTGTCTCTTCCTCAACTGTTCCCATATTTTCCTTAGGTGAATTAGTGAGCTGTGAATTTTGGTAGCGCTTTCCTGAATCCTGCATTGTTTTCCCTAATCAGTTCTCTCAGATCTGCTCAATCTCCATTTAATTCAGTCAGCTACTCAACATCCAAACCATTTGTAATAAAGAGAGTGCTAATTTTTCCTTTTATTTCAATTGTAGTTGATGGCTTTCGGCAGGTGTTATCATATAACTCAATCACCAGCCACTGGAATTTGTAATTTAATCAATAAAGGAGGCCATTTTTCTCAAGTAGATCAAAAGAGAAAGAACTCAAGGAAAATGCTCAGTAAAAGGAGAGTGAAGAACAAAACAAAGTGATAGGAACTGTGGTTTGCACTTAATAGCTTCACACCCTGGTGGCTATATCTGCCTGGCAAGCAGCAGGCAAAACAAATACCACTATTTTAGAATTAATGAGTGTAATGATTGTACCTATGCACTCATCTTGCAAAACCTAGAGGGAAAACCATAGATGTAATGTACACTGCTAAGGCAAGTGCCTTGAACCAACTCCACTGGGCTGAATGGTGTTAGCAGCTCTCTGCATGAGCATTAGTGTTTGCACGAGGAGCTTGATATCAAGGGATATACCAGGAAATGAAACTGTGCTGTGCCAGATCCTTCAGCCTTTCTGTGCACACCCCTTTGTGTCACTGTGGTTTCTTGTGCAGAGGGGGGCATCGCTGTGCCAACAAGCCACTGTTGACGTACTCACTGAATAGCGCAGAGCTTTGAAGCACAGGGAACTACCTGACCACAATAAAGGGTGGCTCTGTGTACCTGCTCTGTCCCCTCCCTGTCTTTGCTTCTACTGCTTCTGCCTACCCCAAAGGAGTGGGTGGTTCTGGCAGGATGAGGGGATGGATGGTCATTACCAGCAATGAGAGCTCTCTTGGTTTCACGCCCGGGCCCATTTAAGAAGTACAGTGTCCAGAAGAGCGTCTCTGCCAGTTCTGCTGCAGACCTGAATTTTCTCCCAAACAGGAAGGTTTATTTTGCTCTCAGCCTCTGGAATGCAACGTGCCCTTTTCACACTCTCAAGAAGCTTTGCATGAGGCCTGGGAAATCACCTGTGCTGCGTCACAGCTGGGAACCTGTCCTTGGCTCCTTGAGGAGCCAAGTTTCAGAGGGAGATGGCCTGGACAGGTCTCTAATATCAGGCCTCTGAAAAGTCACCCATGGGTTTGCTGATAAATAGCTGCTAAGTATTACGGTCTCCGCTTGGCAAGGTCTGCAGAGCTGAAGATGAAACGTATCAAAATTATTCATCCGGAAAATGTTAAGGTTTAAAATTACACTAAATCACTTGGTCCTTAAGGGACATGAAAATGCTGATTTGTTTACGTCCCTCCCAAAGTTCCACGGCCAGCACTGTAGCCATGTTTACTGCAAAGGAAATGTTGAGTCAGCCATTGAAACACGCATCCTAGGGGATTTTAGAACATTTTTTAATTGAAGCAGACACATAAAGTAAAGAAAGTAAAGAAAGGCTTAAGAATACAACATTTGGGGGAATTTTTAACGTGGTGTGTGGCATTTCTCTCAAATATTTTAGTACTTCCCTCGAGTGCTACTCTAGATTGAATAAACAGGTATTTAGAGAGTCTTCGGGTGCTTATTTTCAACACAGGTTGCCAAACTTTTCCTGTGGCAGGCACTTAATTTCATAAGACAATAAGGCAATCAACTGATGAACTCTGCAGTGAATAATCTTTAAAAAGACCACCAGACGCTCTAAAGCAGAAGCTATTGCTTAATTGCAGTAAGAGATTTGTCTCGGGGTTTGTTAAGAGTTGAACATCATGAATTGAAGAACTCCTGGACAAGTGTGGCAATGAAAGGGCTTGGTGCTTGTTTCTCAGCAATTTGGCCTTGTTGGAGCCTGCTGAATTCAAGTCCTGCTCCTGTTCTCTGCAGCTGTAGCAGAAGGAAAAGTTTTGGACAAGAAGAGCGTGAAGTGTGCCAATCAGGCAGCTACAAAATTTACAAAACTGCAACTGGCCAACTTCTGACAAATTACACTCTCTGCCCTTGGAAACTATCAAAGAAACCTGATGTTGACTAATACGAGCAATACTGTAAATTATATTGGTCTATCCTTTTTCATAAGCCTGTGTTTAAGTCTATTACCCAACCTTTCAGCAGTGCCAACAGATTACCAAACGTGCACCATATGATGGCTTATGATTCCTCCTTCCTTCTGGTGCCCACCAAATAATGTCATCAAAGTCGGCGCAGCTCTGCCTGCTGTGTTTGGCCAAATATGAGAGCAGAATTTCTCCCACTGAGTGGCTTAATGTGCTGTATTTGAAGATTGACTTTTTGGAGCAACCAGACTTTGGCTGGCCAAAGCAATCAGTGTTTTGCCGACCCAGGCAGCCTGGGGAACCCAACTGTAAGAAGTGAAAAGCTTCTGATGAGGACTGAGGATGAAAGCTTTTCTCAGGATTGATTTGGCCCTCAAGAGCTCAGCACTTTGCTGAATTGGAGCATCCTCAGAAATAAGCCATGGCGCATGCAGACTGCCCCTCTGTCCTTGCCACAACACGGACTTCCTTTTTACCCAAAGAAAGAGAAAATAAGTAGTACAACTTTCCGTGGTATTTTGCACAAATCTTTTCTGCAGAGCAGAATATTTGTGGGGTGGGAATCATGCATGTGCATAGTGTATTCAAAACTGTTTACATATATAGTCTTTCATATTTTTCCCCGAATATCCCTTGCTTTTAAAGTGCTGAAACATTTTGAAGTCCTTGGCTTGTTTTATTTCTGTCCTGCTCCCAGCACCAAACCACCCATTGCAGTGATTCCACACAGATGAGGCATTCAGAAAAAAAAAGAAAAAAGGATGATGTAGGCACTTTTAGCTCATCTCTTAAAGGACATTGAGTTTTGCTTCCCCTGGTTTTTGAGTTCAACAGGGTGCAGAAGGATGGGGTGTCATTTGGCTATTAAAGATTTTTGTTTTCCCGATCATTGTGAAGTAGCATCATTACCACGGGCAAATTACCATGCTTCACTGTGCTGTGTCCATGGCACATTAGAGACCCTTTCCCCTTGGTAAAGCTGGGTCTATTCTTCTGTAAAATGAGGGGCCCATTGGCAGTTCTTTGGCAAGTTAGACAGAGGGACTATTTAATGAGAGGGAGAGTGGTCTAATAAGGGGGAAGAAATTGAACGTGACAAGTGCAGGGAGAGATAGCAGGAGGCTGCTTTATAAATCACTGCGTAATTGGGCCAAAACAGTTATCGGTTGGGGAAAAAAGGAGGCTGCAGTTTTGGGGTAAATGGGCAACGTGATTTTTCCAAAGTGCATTTTAGAAAAGCCAAGCGCTCCGTTCCATTTCTCCTCTGCGCAGTAAGTGCTGGGCTTTCAAACTAATGGGAACTGGTTTGCATTGCTTAATTTTCTTCTTCGAAATGCTGTATTGGCTTTTGGTGCAGGAATTGGACTTCTGCTTGAATATGTCTGGATTTTACAAATAGGCTTTAGTTTAATAAGATGAAACCAATTAACCGGAGAAGTCATTGCCCGTGGATTTTACAAGTGCATAAAAATATATTGCTTTTTCTTGAAACATTTCATCACCCTTTTAAATGTTCCCCTTTCTTTCCTTTGCCACCGGTGGCAAAGCGCTGGGCTGAATTTATCCCCTTGTTCCTTTTCCTGGCCCCAGCCGTGCTGGGGGGCTGTGTGTGTGCACATGCATCTGTTTATTTCTGTCTCGCCTTGCCCCTGCTGCCGTTCGGTGCAGTTCACTTGTGGCCTGAGGAAAAACAGAGCACGCAAGCTATGAAAAGGTGTTCTTAAAAGGTTGCTTAAAGTGGCACAGGACCCAGGGGCTAATGAGCAATCTTTCAAAACCAGGTGTTAATGCAGCTGCTGAAGCTTGTGGAGCAGCAGAGGTGCTGAGGAAGGTGAGAGCACCTGGGTGTCATCCTACTGCGTCCCTGGGAGAGGAAACATCTCCTGAACCCCCCCTGCAGCCCCTCATTGTGCTGTCTTTGCCTTGTGAGTGAGGGTGGGGACAGGGGCACGCCATCCCATAACGGTGCGGAGGTCTGTGGAAATGAAGTCTGGTCTCTGTCTGCCTTTGTCTGAGCGGTATTGCTCCTTTAATTACCTCTCATGATATTTTACCTCCGTCCTAAGTAATTAAATGGGAGGGAATTTGGCATGAGGCCCCTCCAGCCTCCTGTACCCCTCCATTTACATCAACCCTGCCTTGGGAGCTCTGGGTGACCACGGGACAGGGGCGCACACCGAGGAGTTGGAGGATTTCTCTTTCCATTACCTCACCCTCCCCGCTGCCTCCCAGCCTTGCCTGCTGCAGAAATTGCAAAGGATGTTAACTGCGGGGAGCTCGCAGGGT